GCCTGAATTACTTAGTCTAAGCACAGTCACTGAAGGGCACATCCCCACCCCAAAAAACTGAATTGTTTCAATTTGTGTAGTAATTGTTCTTGGTAGACAGTAGTAAATAGTTGCTTTATAATTGTGGATGGCTATTCTTGATTTGTCTTCATGGTCAGTTGTTTATGCTGGGTATTGTCTCAATATGCTTATTACAATATAACATCATCGTATTTGATTCACAATACTCTGTGGTTATTTTGCTGTCGATAGTACCCCAGTTTGATGAAAAGGCAGGGCTTCCTCTGTGTGTGTGTGGTGTGATACGCTTAGTGCTTCTCAATTAAGTAAAACATACCATACCATTTTAACGTTATATGTAACCACACACGTACCTTTAAACAGATTCGGTGCAATTTTGACTACTACTTGCACCACCATCCCTGAGATCCCCTTCGTTATAGGCTATTAATCATCAGCTTCGAGGGAAACTTAATAGGCCTTACTGAGGACTCGTATTTATTGTTTTCCACAGAGTTGCACATCCTTAAATTTCTTTTAAGCTGTTTACGCTTAATGACACAAACATACTCTAGGTTCTTACAACATGTATCACAAAAATATGCCTGAAACCGGCTCAGATTTATCATTTGAAGAACTTCTGGCCAACGCCATACTTGCAAGCGGAGTGTGTTGTTTACTATTTACATTGGACAAACGGCATAGAAGGTAGTTTGTGATTGGCTGAGGGCCTTGCAGCTAAGCCAAACTTCATTGTTAGTCGTCTTCTGATTGGCTATAGTTACGTAGCAACTTTTGATATAAATTCTCATTTTTGGTTACAGTATCCCCAAATTCACGATTGCCGACAATCAAATTATGTTACAATTTAATAGTATTGACATTTTTGTGCAAAAGCCAGGTAGCCCGGATTGGTGGGTCACAGAATTGAACGTTTTCGATCCTCAACCCACGGTCTACCAGGCCTAATTTGGGGTTACTCACTCTCTATTGAGGTTAGTGCGCTCCATACCTAATTTAATTTGCGTACCATACTCGACTTTCTATTTTTTTTTTTTTCAGAAGAAATCCTGAACATGTCTCAAGAGGTTACTGCTTGTTTTCTATGTTAATCAACATGCATAAAAAACAGTAAACATCCCAAGAATTATGTCCTACTTCCAATTATAAAAATTCCTCTATAAAATATACATTTGTTAGTTCTCCAGTAACGACCTAACATGGCCTACAAATCTGTGATCCTCATCTTTCATTGAACTTCCATGAACTTCAAGGGAAAGTGGAACCGGCATAATAGATGTCGGTAATGAAGTCTCGACCACACCAAGTTGGTTGTCAGCATTCTTTTGTGAAGAGTTTGTGTTGATCTGGGAGAAAAAGTCTGTGTTTGTCGGGAGGTTGCTGGTGCCAGCCATATTTTCTGCGTTGGATGCATTGGGTGAGAGTTGATCATGGCCAAGATCATCAACAGAATCCAGGGATTCTACGTCACCTGATGCATCTGATGTCTGGCCGTTTGCTATTTCTGCAGCAAAATAAACAATAGGAATCAGTAAAATGCTTGTTAATGACAATTACAAAATGTTGAAGACCTTTGCTTTTGTTATTAGATTCAAAACTCCAGATTCATTTCATATGGTCATACATAAAAACATTTGATATTTGTTTTCATGGGTAGAAAAATATTAAAATATTATTTTAATAATATGACATTATAGGCTTGCACATAACTAAAAATTCTATCTATATATCTATCTTTGTTTGGGAAAGGAATAAGACTTTTTATGTCAATTTGCATGTGATTATAATACAGTTGACCTTGCCCAAGTCAAATCCAAAATGCCACTAAAATATTATTTGATTAATGGAAAGCACAACAATTTGGCTGTAAAATTAGATCGACTTCGAAATTATTCAACTTGTGCAAAGTTGACTTCGGTAAGTTTAACTGTACTTCTATACAATTTACCGTTCATTTTAACTCAAAGGTTGTACTGAAGTATTTGTATGGACATGCTGATTAAACTGATACTAAACATTATCAACTACTTTTTTTAATTTGAAGTTTTTCTTTAATGCTTTCATTTGATATACTCTATCCCTAACTATCACCATATCCTGGCACAGTCTCTGGGTTTTTGTCATAATTGTTTCGTATGTTTTATCTTTTGATATTTTAAAGTTTGATTATAATTGTTGTCCCTGTGTTGCATATTAATTTTATTTTTAAATTGTTGTTCCCTGTTTTTGAATGCAATATTTTGTTCTATAACTATGGAATTTTATTATTATTCTTGCAATTTTAATGATTTTACTATGGATTATTTTAAAATGTTCTCATATTAATATTACATTACAGTTTGGATTTTATATATTTCTATTTGAATTGTCTTTAAAGAGGGCCTCTTAAAGTCAGCATTGTTGTTAGAACCACCCTCTCAACAGATTACTGAATAAATAAATATATATTGTAATATGTATTGAAACAAAGTGATGAAAGTTTGAGAATACAGTATTCGAGGGGAATATTGGGTCTGATAAGACAAACTGTATGTAAGTTACAGAAGGTGCCTGATAATAATATTAACAAATGTATTTATTTGTTAGATTCCTTACCTCTTGCTTTCCGTTTTCTATCTTTCCTTCTGTTTGCAAACCAATTATATACATTCATAGGGGTGATCACTCTATGTTCCCCACATATATCCTCTGTTGAAATAAAACGGGACACAATGTAATATGTTATTTGTTATATATGTGCAAGTCAAATGGCCGAGTGGTTAAGGCAGGGGCGTTGCAACATACAGCCACAATATCGGCGCTGGTTCGAACAGCACGTTCTCCTATGGTTCTGGATGTGTAAAAAGTCTTCTCGGATAAGGACTATAAACCGAAACCCAGTGTACACAAGCAGAAGCCCCACCTGACAGCTGAGAGCCCAAAACACAACTGCCACACCAACCACTCCTACTTATGGTCATGTATAAAAACAATTGTGCTTGTGTCCTCATTTTAAAATAAACTTACCTGACATAATTTTTTATTGGTTTTGTAAAAATGAAAATACTGAAACCATTTTAACACCCTTTTTTCAATTATGCTTAAGTCATGCAAATAGCTCAATGTTGTGATTGCACCACCCCTTATACTGCAGGTGTTCATCCACTTTGTGCTTTAAAAAAATTCCAATGTCTCAGTTCTAGACATTTTTAAAAAGGACAACGATCAACTTTTATTTATATAGTCTAACCCCGGTATTCTTAAAACAAACTTTAGTCGTATTTTGAGTTAAAACTTAAAAATTACGTCATTTCGTATTCTTAAAACGGACTTCGACTAGCACTCCGACTAAATGACGTGAACCTCGACTAACATGATACCTCGCAGTCCGAATTTTTTAGTCAGCCTATGGTCAGGCTAAATAGCCGACTTGAAATATTTACCCCACTAAAAACGTGTTTTTGTAACTCACGAGAAAGTGAAACGAATAAAAACGATTGTATACGCAGGTTTGATATAACTTCGGTGTGTTAAACAAAAGAGGCATCAATTTTAGCTTCCAAAAGGAGAAATTAACATGTTTTCCTAACCGCATGCGGTAGTTCCTGATTTGCACGTAATCCCCTCGCATTGCAATCACCTATCTTCACCATAACAACAACAACAAAGATGGCGCCACCCTTGCTCGGGCTCAACTATAATAGCTCTCCAAAGAAAGCAAATTTTCAGTGAATGTTCAAATTCTTTATCGTAATATGTTAACAACTAATATAGTTATTTATTTAAAAAAATTAATTAAGCGAATGATGGTCTATTATGGATTATGAGGAAATAAGTTTTTGACCCACAGACGGCAGCTTAATATTACCGGATCTCTAAAATTTCGTCTGCTATTAAAGCTTGCCAGTCGTCTTCATTGAAATAAAACTAGGACTTGATTTAGTTGTAGTTAAAACTTCGACTACGTTGTTTGTGAATACAAAATGAAGTTGAAGTTGCAACTAGCACCAAATTAAGTTCTAGTTGAAAGTTCGACTAAAGTTTGTTTTAAGAATACGGGCGTTAGTACAAGCAACTTTTGATGCATACCCATTTAATGCTTTTGATGTACTGATGAGAATTTGGTATTATCAGATTAA